CACTGGCTAAGTGTCTTTTTGGTAGTACAAAACGTCATGTTGATTTCAATATTGTAACTTTTTCAGTGCTTGTGAAAAAAATTGTTATACAAATTTTATGTACCCCCTTTAAGGGGCTGTATCTTAACAAGGGATGCTCCAATGAAGTTTCTTTATATGAAATATCCTTTTTTTTTCGATGAGGAATCACCTCCTTGAATGTCTTACACTTATTCAGTTACACCCTGTATAGCTTTCGTTTTGGGTCAGGGCACGCTCTCCAGGTATTTTATTAGAACCCAATAATTTTTTAGAATATTCACTCATCTTCTCAACTACTTCATTTATAATTTATTTACATGTGAATGAAGATTATAGCAGGTGTAAATCGAAAAATATATCTGTACTTATATACTCATTCATCTCTGTTTTTTCGTACTGGTAAGTCTTAGGAAGCTAAAATTTTGTATATAGGTTCTTCTTAGGTCTTAGACGCGTTTTCATATGAAAATTATCTTTTTATCACTATTTCTCAGTACCGCTATATTTTCGGAGGCTGCAATTTTGTATGTAGGTTCTTTTTATGTTATAGATGTGCGATAAGAAAGGATTTTTGGATATTTCAACTGGGGCGCCTCCCTGGGTATGAAAGGGGCGCGTTTACATATAAAAATTACTTTTTGGTACAACTGTCATTGAAAGTGGCATTTGTAATGGTTGTCAAGAGTATTAAAAATGATGTTTACAAAGTAACAATAGTGTTAAAAGAATTTTTAACACGATTTTTCTCGATCAAATAGCAATAAAGGAAACATAATTATTCGATTTTCAAAGAAGTTCCATTATGAACAATAGATATAGATATAATTAAATTCTGACAATTTCCTGGGCATTAACATTTAATTCTTGAAGTAAAGAGGACGATGCTGTAACGCTGGAGCTAGCTGTTAGGATTATTCTTTCAGCAGTAGCCATTTTATAAGAAATAGATCAATCGATGTAACCCTCAGCTACTGTTGTAGACTTCCATACTCCGTGCTTCTTAATATCCGGTATATTTGCTCCTAATTCTGCTAGCAAAGAAGCAGAAGACCTTCTGAAACAGTGACCTGTATATTCCTTTGGTTCCGGGAGGTTCAGAAACTCAGCAATGGTAGAGGGCATTTTCCTAAACGTGTTTATACCAACTGGGTTCACTGCATTTATAATTTGAGTATTTCAGAAAAAAACGTTGATGATTGATAAAAATGTAAAAATGTAAATGCAACGTATTTAATAAGATAGTCAATGTTTTTTCCAACAATGCAAAAAGTACGACGTATTTTCGTTTTTGTATTTGGAATTTGTCCAATCAATTATTTATCCATTGATTTAATGTCTTTTATTAATAAATGGCGCGGCTCTTCATGACGGCAGGCTCCATACATTCCGAAAATAGTAGCAACTTTTATCGCCAAATATTTTTCATCTGGCGCCTCATTTATAAACCTCTGGACTTGTTCAACGTAAGAGTTTTTAATTTTTTGGGCCTATATCTTTCATTTTTGCGCTTTTAGAATGCTATTACCTTGAAATCTTTGCTTGTATAACGAGCGCACTCGACTTTATTATTAAAAAGTTGCTTCACAAAGTTGACTAGTTCCATATTTTTTATTTCTCTTCTAGATAGGCTAAGAAGACAGTTTCGCTGAAATTTCCTTCGATGTTTTTAAGTCTATACTAGCTAAAAAAATTAGAATATGCGATATCTTACTGCTGAGCCGATTTTTTTGGTAACAATTCAATTGAAGCGATAAAATGCGATAACATGAAAATAACATAACAACAGACATCGATAACATCAAATGTGTTTTTACAGAAATTTATCTGTTTTATTATGAAAACAGGACAGTTGTACAAAAAACTTTGTATGATATTTTTGTGAAACTGCTCAACTCGCTACGCTCGTTTCGCAAACTTTTTCACTAACAAAATAAAACCTTACTATTAGCACCCATATCATAAATAGCTATTTCATAAAATGAAGTTACTTCTTCATCACTGTTTCTCCATAACGGTATATTTTAGGAGGCTGAAATTCTTTATGTAGGTTCGGTTTATATTGTAGACGTGCAATAAGAAAGGATTTTCCCCTTCCATAAAACAAAATTATCTTCTCATCACTATTTCTCCGTGCCCTCAAATTTCCGAGGGGTGAATTTATATTTAGCATCAGCATTGCACGGGTGCAACGCTGATGCTAGGTTTATAGGCCAAAATAATTTCTACAAATAACTCATTTTGTATTTCAATCATATTTTTTTTAGGTCCGACGAGGTTCCAGTATATAATTTAACGGTGGAGTCCAAATTACAAATAACTTACCAAGAAATTGTAGATAAAGGAAGAAGAATCGTGTACGACTACCCTTTTGAGATGCAAATTTGGTACCCTGATGGTGATATTAGATCTTCGAAGTTCGTGCATAATATTTACAGCGTTTTCTACCATTGGATCCCTGCTATTCTTATCGATTTGATTATGTTTATTTGCGGACAGAAAACATTGTGAGTATACGCATCATGATTCAAATATAAAAGGTGTGGGAAACTTACAAAAAAAAAGGAAACTAGTTAACTTCAAGGGAAACGCTTTGAAAAGATGTGCAGATCATGTAGAAAAGGCTCTTTCAGATACTAAGTGAAAAAAAGGATCCTCCGAAACAAGTACTTCCAAAGACATGAAAATTGAATTACACAGAAACCACTTTTTTCTATTCAGTTAGAACTCCAACAAACACACTTAATAAAATACTTTATGTGTACTAAAAGGACCTATTTTTCACGAAGATAAGGTTATTTCAGGAAAATAATGCTTCATTCAAGGAAACATGAGTTACTGAGGTTACTGAAAAGTTTCCGACCTCAACATGAAGATGGCAGCATTCTTAAATAAAAGCTAGGTGAATTTCGTTGTTCATGTGTTGACAGTTACTCACCAAAGTTTCAGCCATTTTGGACCCGCAGTAGTTATGTAACAGTCGTTGGAGTGTGTGTGTGTTTTTATGAAATTGAACAAAATCGAGTATTGAGCTGTCAATAAATATTTGTTTTTGAAAGGCAATACGCCTACGCAAATCAAAGATGAGTTGGATTCTGTGTATGGGGACTCTGCAACATCATTTATCACAGTGAAATTTTGGGCATCTGAATTTAAACGTGGTCGTAAGACCTGGGGGGGAGGATGAACGTTTGGAACGTCAAAAACTGCAACTAGCGACGAAAACATCGCCAAAGTTCACAAAATGGTGCTAGTCAACCGCCGAATTGAAGTAAGAGAGATAACAGAGGTTATGAACATGCCAAAAAACGTGTTTGTCACACACTAAAGACCGTAATCGCCGTTTTCTCTGTAAAGTTGCATAAGCCCGGTTAAAACTCTAGTCAAGCATAACAATAAACGTAGCTTACCCGAGCGCCAACATAATTTGGCAACGTTGTATCTTTTCAAGGATAATTACTGTTTATGCGTCATTTCTCAAATTACGAGAACCGAATGTTAAGTGAATTTAATAAAAATTGGGGTTTAGATGGTTAACTTTTACCTTGTTGTCGAAAAACAACAGAATCAGACAAAAGAACATAATACTTGAAGATCTAACTGATGTTCTACTCAGGACTACCTGAGTTTCGCGAAATTTTGCTATCAATTCGCGAACAATTTTTCAAGAAGATTTGGGATACTAGGTCAATATCAAGTTTTGCAAAAATGTATACCTACACATGGGTTATTATAAATACTTTCAAATATAAGACAAAATTGCTCAAAGTATTATAATTGGTGTAACTTTAGTCAAGTTGTCGGCCTGATATAAATAGGTAAATCAATAACGATGATATTTGTTTTCAAACTAGTCACAATCATACGTTCATGATATATCAAAGCAATGACATGATGAATGCAAGAATGTCTGTACTAGGGGATTGAACATGGGTGTGATGTCATCAGGCCGTGGGTGCCACTGGGTCTTAAAATTCTCTCCAGCCGCTTTCTTGGCTAAAGAGTCGGCAATGCGATTACCTTTACTCTGGCGTGCCCTTTAACATACCTCAGGCCAATGTTATTATCTCGAGGCTTTGGTATTGGTATTATCAAGCCTAAAATGTTGGTGGTTTTTTATTTTTCAGCATGATGAGGATACAAAAAAAGATTTATGATGGACTGGAACTTTTACAATTTTTCTCCACCAGAGAGTGGCATTTTAGAAGCGAAAAATTTGCAGCGATTCAGGATAGTTTGACAAAAACAGACCAGGAACTCTTTCCGATGTTGCAGTTGATTCCAATAGAAGAATATATGCTGGCTGGTCTTCTTGGCGTCCGACAGTATTGCCTGAAGGAGGATTTGTCATCGCTACCGAGATGTCGAAGGAAGCAAAAAGTGTGAGTTATTACTGATTCTTTTCGTGATTGTATTCGTTTCATTTTTTGCATTAAAAAAACGTAACAGCACCTTTCGTCAGTTGGAAAATTTCCACGAGCAATAAAAGATTTATTTACTTTTCTTCCATATCAATTTGGTAATTTGAAACTTATTTACTCTAGTAGACATATTTTAACAAGAAAATGTAAGATCCTGTTATGCGAATTCCTTGTTTTGTCACACCTTAACTATGTTGACTGCATTTATGAGCCTGCTTTATTGCAAACTGATAGTCGCCGACTTCAGATGATACAAAATTAATGTGTCAGGCTCATATGTGGTCTTCGTCGACGTAATCATATTTCGTCTTCATTTTCTGAAATAGGTTGAATAGATATGAGGAAAAGGCGTTCACTTCATTTTTGTTCTCTTATACACGAAAGTATGTTGTTTGAAAAATCGCGATACCCTTACAGTAAAGTGAGATTTCGCTCACAAAACCACGATGTGAATATCCGTCATTCCTCGGTTCAAAACGTCTCTTTTCAATTAATCTTTTTCCTACAATATGGCCAATGTTTATAATTGTATACCTATGGAAATGAGAAATCTGTCTCCATTTGCATTTAAAAAAGCAGTCACCGCTCTTATTGCAAATGACAAATTAATTATAGATTAGTTCGTATGGTCTGATATATTGTATTTTTCTTTGTGACATGTCACCAATTTTTTCAAATGGATTTTTTCGCATTATGAGATGCTTCATGATGAGCAGATTTCAACAAAGTAAAAAACATAGGTGAATATTACTGAAGTTTTTTCCCAACACCAAATCGTTATTTTTAACACCTCGACACGTGTTTCGATCACTTAGTGATCATCTTCAAAGAGGAAGTGTTATTTTTAACACCAAAAGTTCCAAACAGTGCATCATAAAAAAAACATAAGGTCTGAAGCTTATGATTCGGGAGCTACCAATTATTTGAGTTGAAAACGAGCGACTCTGAATAACTTTTGTAACAATGATTTTCAGGAAAAATAAAAAACACCTCAACAATTTCTTATCTTACCCCTAGAGCATGTCGTCATTTTTTTCGGGTCAATTGTTTTGCATTATTAGATGTTCTATGATGAACAGATTTCAACAAAGTAGAATACATTATGGTCTGAAGCTTATAGTTTGGAAGCTAAACTATATTTGAGTTGAAAACGAGGCACCCTGAATGAAATTCTGTACAATCTGTTACCTTGGTTTCATAGGTGTTTATGTGAAATATACTTCAAAAAAGTGTTATTTTGCCTAGATAAGTTTGAATTCGATATTCTCTTAATTTTGTATTTGTCTCATTCTGCAATAACGATTACCCACCAGGTGAAGTTACAATTGGTGTTTCTGTTTTTGCGAATTCTTGAGAAGCAATGATTTATATGCTTCGAGAACGGATTGAAATAGTGAGTTTGTACTACCAGAATGGAAATAGTGCTAGAGCTGATGCCCATATATTCGGTGATAATCATCCAAGAGAAAATGTACGACACAAAGACGTTTCGGAATTATTGAACAAAATTGTGGAAACTGGATCTGTTAACAATAAAAAGCATAACCGTTTAGGAGTTGTCAATGATGAAGCTATTTATACTGTTTCAGGGCACGTTGGACTAATGGAAAATTCGCAATCTCTTACTAAGTTATCTCGAGAATCAGGAATCAGTGGTTCAAGTATTTTCAGGATCCTTCATAAGTACAAATTTCATTCATATAAAATTAGACTAGTATATGGATTGAACGAAGATGATTTCGATAGACATATCGAGTTTTGTAAAAGTCTTATTGAATGGATCAACTTGCATCAGAATTTCTGGTATAAAATTTGTTTTTCGGATGAATGTACGTTTAGTTTGAATGGAGCGGTGAATCGGCAAAATTGTCTATATTGAAGTGATACAAATCCTCATTTATACCGTCAACTTCATACCCAACGACCTCAAAAACTGAATGTTTGGGCAGGAATTTTAGGTGACCACATCATAGGACCTTTCTTTGTCGGTGATAATTTCACTAGTGATAAATATTTGGATATGTTGGAGAATCGAATAATACCGTACATCAATAGGGCAATTGAGGATGATATAAATTTATTCGAAAACAAAATAGTTTTTAGCAGGATGGTGCTCCCCATTATGCAGCTCCAGCGCGACAATTTTTGGATGATCACTTTCCTGGTCCTGATCAGAAAAAGAGATTTTTCAATAATTCTTGAATTAAAATCTGATGACAGGACAATGAGAAGAAAAAAATTTTCTGTAGTAAATGTTCAAAAACGTTCCCACCAACTTCCATACAATGGTACAAACGAGCTTCCATTGCCGCCCTCACATGGTTGAGAATCTCGGGAGTTATTTCTCTGCAATGCCTCATGATATTCTCTCTCAAATCTTCTAATGTTGTTTTATATTTTGTTGAAATCTGCTGTTCATGGAGCATCTGATAATATAACGTGATCCATTTAAAAAAAAGGTGACGTGTTAGGGGGGTGCTATAGGGGAAGTAATATCAAATGTGAATATGTCAAAATGTGTGACGTGTACCAAAAGTTATTCAGGTTCAGATTTACTATATAAGTTTGTATTTCATTTCTATGTTCTATTTTGGAGTCTGGGGCAATCAAATCTATCATTACTAGTATTATTATCTCAGAATCCCCTGGACACATCGTGCAACCCCCCCTGAGGGTCTCGATCCACCGTTTGAGAACCCCTGATTTAATATTTCCCAATGTTTAGCCAATATTTGGCAATGTTTAGCCATTAATAGTGGTTGGCCAAAACGTTAGGAAATGCACAACATTCACACATGTCAAAATGCATTTTGAGAAAATAACTGTCTTTTTTTTGTAGGATGTACCTGCTCCACGTGTTGTGCGTCTATGGTTTCTATTTCTACATTTTCTATCTTCTGAGCTGCTACTTCAGTGTATTCAGAGTTCTCTTCGATTTCGTGAAAACTTGTTTGAGTTACATTCCAATTATAGGTTCATTTGTTTCGGTGACTCAGTAATGGATGGTTATAGCAGCCCGCAATTTTTTGTTCACCTGTTCAATTCTCACACGAAATCAGGAAATTGTTTTGTATATACATTATAATGATTATAGTATTTGTAAAAATATGGCTAAAGACTCGAAGGCTGATGAATTTGAAGTTTTGTCAACATCATGAAATTTGAAAATTCGAATTCCCTAGGTGTCTCTATATCAGGTGCTAAGTAAATTGTTGATACAATAAATTATTTGGTGTGGAAATATTTTCGTTTTAGATAATGGACATCGGGAAAACATTTTGTGCATCACAGAAAATTTGCTCAACTTTTGGTATTTTGGTATGTAATATATCAATCTAAAGATTATATGTTGTTTGATTACCATGTACGATCCCATTTAGTAAAACTCGCATTGAGTATGACAGACAGCACAAATAAGCTGTCACTTATGGACTTTTAGCAGAAATAAATTGCAAAGTTAAGAAAAATTACGATAATCGCACCATAAAAGTCCGGAACAATCCAAAGTTAGGTATCTTAAGTTCGTTCCTTGATTTATCACGATTTTATTAGCTTCACCTGTATGTATGTATGTATGTTTGTTTGTTTGTTTGTAACTCCAGAATTATCGACATTATTGCTTGATCTATTCGCGGGCAGATGGCGCTGTACGTATCCTCCTTGATATAATTCGAACACACTTTACATGTATTTCTTCATTTGAAAAAAGTATATTTTTATTATGTTTATTATCTGTATTTAACAAATTATCGATATTACTTGATCTATTCGCGAGCAGATGGCGCTGTATGTAACCTACTTGATATAATTCGAACTCACTTCACATGTATTTCTTCATTTGGAAAAAGTATTTTTTTTAATAACACGCGCCCCTGCTGCATTATTTGTAACCCCTTTTTGCGCGCCTACTGCTTTGGGCTTGGTAGCTGATTTTCAGGCTCCGTCTCCGGAATCGGAAAATATCAATGGTCATTTTTCCAAACAATATACGGCTGATTGATTCCAAAGTTTAGATAAATTAAATATAGTTCAAAAAGACTAAAAAACGCGCTTTTATAGCA